TGCCAGAACTCAGGTCATTGGAGATGAGTGGAGGAAAAGGAGGACTAGTAGGAAATGACACTGAAAGCATGTTCTGGAGCCAGATCAGGGAGGGCTTTTCCCAGCAAGTGATTTGGGCATTTCCCATCTATCTTCTAGGGAAATGTCCAGCAGAGGTAGGAGTGAGTGTGACCGTGTGTGTGTTTCCTCATTGAAGAATTAAAAGTAGGGGGCTTCCCTGGTGGCGCAGTGGTTGAGAGCCCGCCTGCCGATGCAGGGGAGGCTGGTTCGTGCCCCAGTCCGGGAAGATCCCACATACCGCAGAGCGGCTGGGCCCGTGAGCCATGGCCGCTGAGCCTGCGCATCTGGAGCCTGTGCTCCGCAACGAGAGAGGCCACAACAGTGAGAGGCCCACGTACCGCAAAAAAAAAAAAAAAAAGAATTAAAAGTAGGGAACATGGGAGCGACAGTAAGAGATACATGTTTTGCTTTATTTTAGCATACATAGAAAGTTATTCAACATTTAGCTTAAACTTGTAGTACACTAGTCACATATACTTCCGCGGCTCTTGTTTTGGCCACCATCCCTCTGATCCTGGGGTTGGTGTGGCTCTCTAAGCCACAATTCAGTCAGTTTCTCATTTTGGCCCTTTCTGCTTCAGGGCAGCCTGCTTCTCCCCTGACTGCCCCTGTTTCTGAGCCCGTGGTCAGGTTCTCTGGGCCACTACAGATGTATGATAGAGGGAGAGACGTCTGGTGGCAGGATGGAGGTGGGAGACAGATAAGAGGTGGGGAGCCTAGAGGTTGGGGAGGCTTAGGAGACAGTCTGGAAAAGAGTGATTAGGGGCCTGCAAAGTAAAAGGGCACCGATCACATTTGTCCAAGAGGACCCCAAAGCAGAGAAGCGGAATCACTGATGCAAACGGAAGTCTTGACAGCCTGAGCTGCCTAAAGATGCAACAGAGCTCCTGATTTGTCACTGTAGTTCTTTAGACAAACCAGAGGACCATTTGGCAGTGAAAGCATTTAAAAGGTTTATTTGTTATCTATCGCTGCATACATAAATTACTCCAAAATGTAGCGGTTTAAAACAATAAACATTTATTATCTCAGTTTCTGTGGATGAGGAGTTCAGGAGTGGCTGTGTTGGGTGGTTCTTTTTTCGGATCTCATGAGATTTCAGTCTAGAAATCTGCCCAGGGCCTCAGGCATCTGCAGGCTCACTCGGAGCTCAGACTGTTGGCAGGAAGCCCCAGTGCCTCGCTGTCTGTTGGAAGGCGGTCATAGTTTTTTTGCCAAAGGGGCCTTTCCCTGGTGCTGCTTGAGTGTCCTTATGACATGGCAGCTGGTCTTTCGTAAAGTGAGTGATCCAACCAGGAAAGCGAGAAGGAAGGCCCACTGCCTTTTCTGACCTCGCCTCAGAAGTCACACATTGTCACTCTGACATATTGGAAGAGAGTCACAAGTGGAGAGGAATTAAGCTCCATCTCTCTCTCGAACAATTTATGGACAGAGCACACATAACGGGGTCACACAAGAGGACTTTGAAAGTTCCTCTCTACCTGAGATTCTCCAACTGTATTCATGAATCAGTAAACAAAGGACAAACCTTGAAAGGGCATGTAGTTGAGTCATCCCACTCTAGAAGCGGCCCACTGGGGCCCTTGTAATTGATGTATTTGTCAAGAGGGGAGGCTGGGTAATGGCTTCCTGGAAACTCCATCAAGTAGCAATGGGGTCTGATTGAAACTGCTTTTGTGGTGTAATGGAAATGCTATTGATGATTTTCAGAAAAGAGTGAATACGGAAAAAGCTCAAGTTAGAGTTTGTTTTGATTATACTATTCTTGGGACCAAAAAAGTGATCGAACAATATACAGCAGTTAAGTGTATTGTGTGGGTATTTTTTTAAATTTAATTTGGGGAATTGTTTTGTTTTATTTTTATGTGTAGGACAGAAAGATTTCTGAGCCTCCTGGTTACTTGATATTACCAAACATTAAGGACCACGAGTTTACGAAGTTATACTTTCATGAGAGTTTTATAAAGTTATAAATGAGAAGTCATGGTCCAAACATGAAGCAAATTAAGTTGCAGCCTGATCTGGGGCAATTAACATGGTAAAGCACAGGAGAACCCACTTGAGCTTGATGTTTGAAACATTCTCCTTTTACAGGCAGAGGCTTAAGGCAGACACTTCCCTTCTGATGGGTCTAATCTTCCACTACTGGAATCTGCAGTGAATAATATTTACATAATCTTGATACTGTCAATGCTGGTACTAACTGTCACTGTTTGGGATCAACATCTAATCAGAGCATAGAAGGCAAGCTGCCTGTAGGACAGAATGCAAATGTTACTATCTATGACAATAATGGCATGGTTCCTAGAGGTTCAGGAGAGGGTTGGGAGTCAGGGAGGAAGAGGAAGGAAACTTACATAGTCCAAGGGGTGAGGGATGGTTGGCAGAGATGATAGAAAGCTGATGAATCAAGAAATAGTGCATTACAGTTGAAATAAAATATAATAAATATACGATTTCAAGTTAGAGTTCTCACAAAAGTCATGCGGAAAGGTGGTGGGGAGTGGTATGAGCTATGTTCATAATTTTTTCCCCCAAAGGAGTCACTAGTTACTGATTGAGAAACAGAAGCATAAGCACATTCTATAGAGTGAAGGTGAATCCCATGAGAATAACCAGAATCAGAAGCTGGCAGCTCTGGAAACTGGATGGCAAAGGTGACTTTCACATCTTCTTTCTATCCTTCTGTAGCACGTTTACTTTCTCACCACCCACTGAACATATGTAACTTTCTTAAAGCAAAATATGTAAAACCCCACGTCATCGGTAGCACCTATAAGTTGAGAGGAGCCTAAGTTCACCAGGTTTTAGTAGATAAACTTCACAAACATCAGTCCCTCTAGCTAACTTTAACAAATGGCAAGATTTCACTTATTTCATAAATTGACAGTTTTCATTCTTCTCCTTGAGACAGAGAGTAGGAATCAGTTTACAAGTTACTACCTTGGTGATAAAAACTATTTAATATGAGCTAAAATTCTATGACTTATCCTAAAATATGCATTTCTATACTACACCACCAAAATTGAAAGGACAACCAAAAAAAACCCTTATAATTTTCAGGATTAACTTGAATGGACAAGAGTCCAGGCTCAGTAAAGTACAGAAACTCTATTCTAGCAACAGTCTATGAAGCAGTTTTAATAACTGTCCCCCACCCTGCCTCCCAGTACTAAAGACTTATTCTGAGTTTTTATGGAAGGCCCAGGTACGTCCTCTGCATATTTTAAAAGCAAACTCCCTGCTACCTAACTGTGGAAGATATTCAAAGGTTTTGACAATGATTAAGATAACCAAGAAGCAAGTGGCTGCTTGCCTCAGTTTAACAAACAACGGCCATTAAAAACAAACAAACAAAACATTTGCCAGGAGCAACCTGGGTACCAAGTGTCGTGGGTGGAAAGAGAAAGAAAATATAGCATGAAAAACAATGAAGTTGGTGATCAGAGTCCAGGTGGAGAAAGACGCATTTCCTATAAAAGTGCATTGTTTTTTTTTCTTTGACAAATGAGAGGAGAGATTTTATGAAAGTTCTTCAGGCTTTTATAGAAAAAATAATTTTTATTCTCATAAGAAATGCTCAGTCTTTTATTTTACAGACTTATAAAACCTCAAGATATGTAGGGACTTGTACTACAACAAGGCACAACAATCATACAATACAGACCAGGTACCAACTATACTTGATAAAAGGAATTTTACACAAAGAGCTGAAGTACCACATCCCTGAGAATGACTTGTAGTGCTTATATTAAAAAAAAAAATGTGTAGAGAAGAATGGATCACTACAGAGTGCTATAACCATACGTAATGTAATACTACACAGCAATGAAAGTGAACAAACTGCTGTCACCAGTAACGTAGATGAATCTAACAGGTTTAACATTTCCTTGAAGACATTAGACACCAAGAATACATATTCTATGATTCCATTTATACAAAATATAAAATCAAATAGAACTAATCATGGTGTTAGAAGTCAGCATGGTAGTTAACTTTGAAAGGGGTAGAGACTGGGAGGGGTTATGTGGGAGCTTTTAGAGTTGCAGTAAAGTTCTATTTTTTATCTAGATGCTGGTCACATGGGTGGGTTCTGTTTGTAATATTTGCCACGCAGTTGAAGTTAACAATTTTTTCTGAGTGTACACTTCAATTAAAAAGTCAACTAAAAAAAAAAAATAACATATAGGGCTCCCTGCTAGCTTATGTGGCACCTTTATGCAGATTTTTTAAAGTGCGCCTCTCTGGATGAATGAATTAGAAAAAGGCACCCCCGTGGGCAGAGGCAGCCCCACAAGTTTGTGCCTTGGCAAATGGAGGGTGGGCTGGGCTCCATCCCCACTGGTATGCTTTGCTAGACACAAAATCACACGTCTGGATGGACATCTGCAAATCTGCAAAATACTCATGGGACCCTTCCATAAGAAGGGCAGGGCAGACATCCTTATCGTACAGATGAGGAAGTGGCCTAGAACAGTGAGAATGATGCGCAAAGGCATCACAGCTAATAAGCCATGGAGCCAGGGTGGACCTCTAGGCCAGTAGCTCTTCACATGGTTCTGATTCCTTTTGGGGAGGGGAACAGGAAGAAGCTTCTCTCTATGTTACTGTGTATATTGTTATGGGTCATCTCAAACGCTCTGTCAAATAAGGCAGGGGATAAATACATGGTCCGATAGTCTTAATATTGGGCTTTAGTAAAGGTGCTAGGTGCTAAGTCCATTTGAAAAATATGCTATAAGCATATACTCCAAAATGAATATTCACCTTGTAGATGTTGACCTAGGCAAAAAGGGCAGTGGAATAGAGATGTTTACATATCAACAGAGCATCCTGGCCCAACCGTAGGTTAAAATGATCGACTTAAGGATATAAATCTTTCCATCTCTTGGAAAAAATGAAAGAGAAAGACACCCACGTAATGTGTTTGTCTAACTTACCCAGAAGCGTTTGCTTATTTGGGGAGGAGTTAGGCTCTGCAGAGCATCTGCAGGATCGGAGGACAATCACTCCTCCGAGCACGCCGTCTTCGCTGGCCAGGAAAGGTGAGCCTAGGCAGAAACGACTAGTGGTCATTTTCAGTAATTTTACTCTTTTCCCTTTCAATTTTCATTTGATTACTGGAACAAACGTGTGGTATGAATAAGCTCTTGAAAGATGCCCATTTCTGACACTCGCCATTGTTCGTACCTTGTACAGGCGGGATAGCAAAGGCAGGCTTGTGCCCGAACAGGCAAAGGCAGTGCCAGACGCCTCCAAGAAGACATGACTGGGGGTGGAGTGTGCATGACCGTATTCAGAATGGAATTGGAAACACTGCCAGATTAAAGGCCCAAAACACAAATACAGGAAAAAATGCTCAGCAGCTCCCTTTGATCAGCTCTTAGTGATCACTTACCAGGCTCTCCCTGCTGTCAGAGGCATGCCACCAAAAGCTTTGATTTACTACCTTAAATTCAACTTTAAACAATAAGCCACAAACTTTATTACAGACATTTAAAAATGCTCCTAATGGATACACAAAGAAGGGTGAAACTGTATTTCTATTATGAGAGTCTGGTGGTTAGAAACAACCATGCTTCACAGAGATCTCACACAAACTAAACCATTGTGAGCATTTCAGGAACGCTGCTTTTTAAAACCCCTCATTTTTCCTCCCCAAGGACATCTTCTTCGAACATCTGGCATAGCAAGTGAGCACGTGGAGAACAAATGCAAAATGAGCCCAAGCACTATCAAAGAGAGTAATAAAAATAAAAACCAACCAAATTGGATTTGGGGGGAGCTTCTGGTTAAACTCAGTAGATTAAACACATGCATTTATCGCCACTCCTTTCTCAAATCCCAGTAAACTGGGGGAAGGGGAAGGGAAAAGAGGCATGGCCTAATAAGGACGGAGAGAGAGACAAGAAAAAAACTGACCTTTTAGAAAACAGAAAGAAGATGGACAAGCAGTTGCTCACCTAGTGGACCTGGGAAAGCTGAAACCTAAGCTTCCATGAGGGGGTGGGGAGCCTGGTTGGAGTCGAGGGACACCTGTAAGAAGCCATCCAGTTTTGTCATAAAACCGAATAAAGGACCAGAAATCGGAGGCATCAAGTTCTTCTGAAGGCAGGGGTGCAGGGTGGGCCTGGAATAAAGATGGTTGGTCAAGAGTGTCCAAAAGGAGCCTCTAGACCAGGGGTCGGTAAACTATGACCTGCCTGCTCTACAGCCTGTTTTTGTGCTGTCTGCAAGCGAAGAGTGTTTATTTTACATGTTAAACTTTCTTTTTTTAAGAGAGAGAAAAAGAGAAGGAAGAGGAAGAGAAGAATATGTGGTAGAGACCAAAGTGTAGCCCACAAAGTTTAAAATCTACTCTCTGGCCCTTCATAGAAAAAGTTTGCCGACCCCTGACCTCGAGCCCCAGATTCCTACCTAGAGAGGAAGTTGCTCCTCCCTAACCCTAGAGAAAGCAGGACATTTACTCTCTAGAGATGCTGAACCAGAGGGACTTGAGACTTGGGGTCATCAGGCTCAGCCCAGGGCAGACGGGAGGCTCCATGCTGAAAACAGGGGCTAAAGGGGAGCCTTTATGTTAAACAGTGAAATAACCAGCTCCCTTCACTCACAGGCTCTCAGGATGCAAGAAGGTAGGCTGTTATCCTCCAAGCAAGAGACTGGATAATTCCTTTCCAGTCTCAAGAGTATTTCCAGTCTCAGTTCCAACCAGCTCAAGAGTATTTCCAGTCTCAGTTCCAACCAGCTCAAGAGTAAAGACCTATTTGAGAGAACCTAAAAACATAGCGTGTCCTTGCTTTGTGGGGAGGGCTTCCAGATGACAAGTGTGACTCATACACAGAAGGTTTTCAGTTCAGCTTCTTGGTACCTAGACAACCTAGGATCACTACTTGTTTCCATTAGGCCTCCAGGAAACACAGAAAGCAAACAAGCAAAAAGGTAACAGAGGGAAAACTTAGGCAAACACTTTGATCAGAAGAACAATTTAAAAAAAAATGGGGAGGTGGATTCCCTGGTGGTCCAGTGGTTAGGACTCAGCGCTTTCACTGCGAGGGCCGGTTTTGATCCCTGATTGGGGAACTAAGATCCTGTAAGCTGCATGGCGCAGCCAAAAAAAAAGAAAAAGAAAAAGAAAAAAGAAGAGAAACACAAAAAAGACAGAATGAGAAATGAGAGGAAAAAAAATTTTTTAAATCAGAAGAACAGGCCAGAAGGTCCAATATCTGAATAAGAGGAATTTCCAAGAGAGAAAATAAAAGAAATGAAAGGGAAGAAATTTCAAAAAATAATTAAAAAGCAATTCCAAGAATTGAAGGATGAGTGTTCAGACTGAAAAGGCTCATGAACCTCCCAGCACAACACATGGGGGAAAAAAAAAAGTGTGCCATGAAGACATATCACTATGAAATATCAAATACTGAGGAAAGAGAGAAAGGTCTAAAAATTTCCAAATGGGGAAAAAAGATCACAGGGAAGGCAAGGGGATCATAATGGCATCGGATTTCTCAACAGCAACACTGGGAACTAGAAGATTAGGAGGTATTATCTTCAAAATGCTGAGAGAAAATTATTTCCAACCTAGAATTCTACCCTTGGCCAAAATGTCCATCAAGCATGAAAGGAGAATAAAGCTCAACAAAGTCTCAAAGAATTCACCTCCTGTGCACTCTTTCTCAGAAAGCTGTAGGATGAATGTGCCTCAGCAAAATGAAGGAGCAACAAAAATAATGAGAAAGAAAAGAAGAGCTGCAAACAGGGGATCCAAAACAAGACAAAAGTATTCCTGGGTGACACACGGCTACACACAGGCTTGGAAAGCCCAGACCAAAAGAGCAGAAAGCCAGAGGAAGCTGGAAAGGTATTTCCAAGGAGGGGAAAAAAATTAAACATACAAAATACATGTTGCATTTGAAATTATTGAGAAGAAATGTTTCAGATTTTGTGGGAAGACTAAGAATGAAAGAGTGATTGGTATAAAAAAAAGTGAGGCAAATATTAACTGCAGAAGAAATAAAAATTTCTACAGGAAATGAAATAGAATCACAGCCCACTACGTAGCTCAGATGTCAACAGCTAGAGTAAAAAATATAAACTCGTGATACTGATGAACTGAAAAATAGGGATATAATACATTAAGAGGAGAAAAGGCCTGTGTGGGTGAGTGTAGGTTTGAAGTTGGAAGTATAAAGGAACTATTAAGTCCTTGCCTTCCCTGGAGTGAAGATGATAACATCTAAATCTGATATTCAAATAATATTTAAAATTGAAAAATCAAGAAATAGTAGTATAAGCATGTTATATTGAATTATAGATGTAAGTTTAAGAAAAAATAGCTAAGAGAGTTAAAAGTAGTAGCCTCCAGGGAGAGGAAAACGAGGGGGTTGTGGAGGGTTGGGACAGGGAACTACTCATTTTCAGTGTAAGCCTGGGGGTACCGCTTGTCTTTTTAAACCACACACACACATTGCTTTGTAAAGAAAAACAACACAGATTTATGCTGCGGAACTAGGGTAAAGTATTTACTCCTCAGCCTCTTAGACAAGAGGGAAAGGAGACAGGGAATTAACAGTCACTGAGAAACTACCCTGTGTCAGGCCCTAGTTCCATGTTTTCATGTTCTGTAGTTTAATTTTCAGAACCACCATGAGAAGGCATTTAATGATCACTTTACAGATGAGGAACCTGAGGTTCAGAGGGGTTCAATGACAAGTCGCAGCCACGCCACAGTTGAGGAGGAAGGCTTCCCCCCACGTGTCTTGAAGCCCATGGTTCTGCCTGCTTTGCAGCAAAGCCTCTCAGGAACAGGAGACTCTGGATAAGCTTACGTCCCAACCGCCTGCTGGAGAGCTCCACCCCACCTGCACTCAAAGTCTTGGCACCTCTACAATTGCTCCTTTCTCACCAAATCTGGTCACTTCTCCTGGGATCCGCACAGCTCACCCAAGCTCAGAACCTTCTACCTCTTCCCTCTCCAATGACTCAACTCTTCAAACCACATCAAGTCCTGTCAGTTCTCTGTGGGTGCACCTGTGCCTGCCTCCGCCCCATCATTCCCACCGACAGGACCCCCATGCACTCTCCTTCCTGATCCAGTCACTCACCTCTTAGAGAAATTAATCCAATGAATGTATACAATGTGCCAGGGCTCGTTGGGCACTGGGGACATGGCAGTGAACAAATGAGGTACCTGCTCACATCGAGTTGAGCAGGTTGGGAGACAAATAATAAAGTCACAAATCAACAAGGAAATCCACCCAGTTAGTAGGAAGTGCGGTGAAGAAAATGAATCCAGTCGAGTGTTGTAGGGCGTGACTGGGGCTAATACTTTATATCAAGGGTCGGGGAAGGCATCTTTGATAAGACGCTAACTATGTGAAGATCCAGGGAAGGAACATTCCAGGCGGATGAACCAGCAAATGCAGATACCCAGAGGTGGGAAGGAGTCTGGAAGTTCAGGAAATAAAAGGAGGCTAGAGTGGCAAAGCCAAGTGAAGGAGGGGGAGGGAGGGTAGAATCTGAGTTCAGAGGGAAGCGGGGCCACGTCACATAAGGTTAGAAAAGGCCCAGCAAGGAGTTTGGATTTTACACCAAGTGTGATGAGAAGATGACAGAGGGCTTTAACCAGGTCAGTGATGGTTTTTATTTGTGTTTGTAGGAGGTTACTCTGCTGTGCAGAACAGATGGGCAGGGCAAGTGTGGAAGCAGGAAGCCACTAAAAGAGCTTGGCTGTGAGACTCCAGTGGCTTGGGTGAGCCTGGTGGCCATGGAGACGGTCAGCAGAGGGTGGGTCTGGGATATGTTCTGCAAGCAGAACCAATATGGTTGTTCATAGGATGGATATGGGCATGGGAAACTGACATCAAAGTTTACTCTAATAAGAAATATGCACCCCAGCTATGATCATACCGTTAAACCATTCAGATATTTTCAATGACTCCCAACTGCTCACGGAATAACGTCTAAACTCCTTAGCCGGGCCCAGACCTCCTCTCTCTTCCCAACCTTATCTCCCTATTATTTTTACACAGCATGTGCTCCAGCCAAATTGGAC